ATCACCACCTTCTAAACCACATCAATAACTTGGGATTGTGGCACAGTATATATAAAATGCTTGACGATTCCTACTTATAGCACTGGTAACCTGCAGGGTAAATTGAGTATCTTATGAAAATTTATCCAACTTCTCTAATTAAGAGGAGAATTATCATGATACACATTTACAGTTACTTTCTGGTCTACTAATTCAATTCATTTTTAACAAAAAATAATAATAATAATAAAGAAGACAGCTTGCTGCCACAAGCTTGCAATCACATATCAGAAAGAAAGAAAATTGCTCCTTGCCTAGTAAAAATCCTTAAGTTCCAACCCATGGCTAGGATGCTACCCATCACAGAGCATGTGCCACTTGGCAATCTGTCTCCTAGGGAAGTCACAGATCTCCTTCCAGTGCTCTCCACCGGTTCCTTCTGCTGCTGAGCCCAAGACCAACCGCCCAATCACCTCATTTCGAGACCCCCTTTCAGAATCCAAAACCAGAAATTCAACACTTATTTCTTCAAGACCCTCACAAGGAATATCAAAGACAAACAGTTCATTGAACACTGCATTGGGGGTGCATTTCTTCACATGAGTCTTCTTTTTGGAGATTCTTTTTTTGGCATGGTACAGGTTCACTTTGACGTAGGGATCTGTAACGGTACATAACAGGCATTATGATAACAGAACCCCTCTAGAAAACTGATCTCAAGATAATGGTACCTTTAGAGATTATGGCATGCCAATAAAATATGTTTTCAATGAAAATGAGTGAGAGGAAAGGGAAAATATAGATAAAACTCAGTTTTTCTCTTGTCAACAAAATTGAAAATAAGGAAGAATATGCAACATAAGAGAAAGCAGTTGTAAGCCAGAAGATAAGGAAGAAATAATAATGGTAGGAAAAGGAGATAACATAAAGGGGAAGAAAACAGAATGTTGTATGGACACATTCTGATTACTAATAACTCATTCCAGAGAACAGGAAAGAAGAAAAAAGAAATAAAAAATTAAATGACATCAAAGCCTACTGACTTGTATGACTTTGCGTAATTTAAGATCATGCTACTTTACCACACATTAAATTATATTATTTTTGCCTTTTTCTGGTTGCAGCATATGAGTTCATTTTAGCTTCTTAATCTAAACCTTTAGTACCATGTTT